AAATTTAATTGGTTTTAAAATGTATTAATTTTATTAAAAATTATAAAACCAAAACCATTATCGCTTTTGTAAAACACCGTCCTAACATTTCTGACTTTTGTAATTTTTCAGTTTCAGTTTTTCAGTTGTTTTATAAAAGCAAGCATGGCTTCTTTCAGAGAGGTTAATTTGCTATATTGTATCACTCATCTCTGTCTTCACAGGCCATTTCTCAGCTTCTCTCCAGCCAGCGGCTCATTTGAGGCCAACCCTCCGTTCTGTGAGGAACTCATGGATGCCATGGTGAAACACTTTGAGGTGAGTGACTCTTAACGTCATCCCAAAGTCGTTAGATCAGAATATATTACATATACATTCCCATACGGATTCTCATTGTCTCTCTGTCTTTCTCAGGATCTTCTGGAACACTCCAGCGAGCCGCTGTCCTTCATCATCTTTGTGCCAGAGTGGCGTGACCCGCCGACCCCTGCCCTGACACGGATGGAGGCCAGTCGCTTCCGCAGGCACCAGATGATTGTGCCTGCTTTGGAGCACGAGTACCGCAGCGGCTCGCAGCACATCTGCAAAAGGTCAGACATTTGTTGGTCTGTTTCCTTGTTCTTGTGGTTTTAGTTCCTTGTTCACTGCACAAATCGAACCAAAAGTTCTTTTAAACTGCAATTGCCACCAGTTTTGTGAAGTTTAAAGGAAGTTCATTCAGAAATGAAAATTTGCTGAAAATGTGCTCACCCTTAGGCCATACACGATGTGGATGAGTTTGTTTCTTCATTAGATTTGGAGAAATGTAGCATTACATCACTTTCACACCAATGGATCCTCTGCGGTGAATGGGTGCCGTCAGAATGAGAGTCCAAACTGATCAAACTGGGCTGATAAAAACGTCACAATTATCCACACCACTCCAGTCTATCTATTAACGTCTTGTTTATAAGAAACAAATACATCAAGGCGTTTTTAACTTTAAATCTTTGCTTCCGGCTAAAGTATGAGTCCTCAGTCCATAATATTGTTTCCTCCAGTGAAAATGTCATCTCGTCTGAATCAGTAGAGAAATATGCACAGATCAAGCACTGTTTATATATGAAAACGGTTCTAAACAAAAATGTGGGAGGACAACGGGATTGATTTTGTCATTGGATGAAGTGTTATTGATTATGGACTCGTATTTTAGCCGGAAACAACGGTTTGAAGTTAAAAACATCTTAATCATGTTTCTTACAAATATGCAGCTTTTGGCTTCTCAGGATGTTAACTGATGGACTGGAGTGGTGTGAATTACTTGTGGATCATTGTGATGTTTTTATCAGCTATTTGGACTCTCATTCCGACGGCACCCATTCACTGCAGAGGATCCATTGGTGAGCAAGTGATGCAATGCTACATTTCTCCAAATCTGTTCTGATGAGGAAACAAACTCATCTACATTTTGAATGGCCTGAGGGTTTTATTTTTGGTGAACTATTCCTTTAAAGGGTTAGTTCACCCAAAAATGAAAATTAGCTTGTGTTTTACTCACCCTCGAGGCATCCTAGGTGTATATGACTTTCTTCTTTCAGACGAATCCAGTCGGAGTTATATTAAAAATTGTCCTGGCTATTCCAAGCTCTATCATTGCAGTCAGCGTGTTGTAATTGAACAGTCCACAAGTCGTCAAATACAGCACGCGCATCCATTACAAAACGTGACACACGCCTCCGGGGAGTGAATAAAGGCCTCCTGTAGCGAATCCATGTGTTTTTGTAAGAAAAATATTTTTCTTAACACTTTTCTATCACTTCCGCCAACTGTCATATGCGGAAGCCGTGCTGGCGGATGACGTAGCACGTCAGCGTTGTGTGATTAGTGACGAATGCGGAGAGAGAACAAAACAAAACGCCGGTCACGAATTAGAAGTACAAACCGA